AAAGTCCTTCCATTCCCGTCTATTTATTTGTACAGTTAAAAAGACAGATATAGAACTGATACCAAATTCTGTCTTATTCTGCAATAAGTTATATTCATCTATGGAAACACAAACTGGGAAAAACCACAATTTTTATCTCAATGAAATGCATATTCATTGGAATTTATTTTTCATGTTTACTATTTTTCAAAATGTGTGTTACGCCATTTGGTGGTTTCCACCTTGGAGAGGCTAGTGGAAATGTTGGGAAGCCCAGAGAGATGCCGCCGATCGACACACAGAAGTGTAAGGTTCCAAGGCCACAGGCCGCCTCCGCCATATTTCACATTCCAACCCACTGGCTCGGTTCCGGGCTCTCCCAGCTCAGGAGTGTTGCAGGTTAAATTGTACTTCACCCTAAAAAATACATTCAAGTGCTAGCCCCTGGTATCTGTGAATGTGACTTTAGAAAGAGAGTATTTCCAGATACAATTAAGTTAAATGAGGTCACTCTGGATTGGCATGGCCCTACATCTGATGACTGGTGTCCTTATAAAGACGTATGTGAAGACGCAGAGACACAGGCACACAGGGAGGACATCACGTGACTACAGAGGCAGCAGCTGGAGTGATGCGTCTTCCAGCAAAGAAATGCCAAGGGTTGCCAGCATCCACCAGACGCCGGAGAGAGGCATGGAACAGATACTGTCTCCCTCAGAGCCTGCAGAAGAAACCAGTCCTGCAGACGTTCAGCCTCTGGGACTGTGAGAGAATCAAGTTCTGTTGTGTTAAGCCTGCAGTTTGTGGTGCTGTGTCATGGTGGCTGTAAGAGACCAGTACAGATGGTCTCAAGCTCTTCCAGTGCTCACCTCTCAGTACCTGAAGGAGGCTTCCTTCCTGCAGCAGGGGCTACCCTGCCCAGACCCCTGACCTCCGTTTTAGCAGCTAGAGATGCTGCTATAGGTTTGTGCCAGGGACCGTTTCTGGAGGCTTGCTTTCTGGAGGGTGGAGCCCTGCCCCACAGATGCCTGAGACGTATGCGCCCTCCACCCATAACCAATGACACTCTGGCCTGGAGGAAGAAAACTGGCTGCTCTTTATGGTCCAGAGTTCTCCGAGGCATTGGGCTGAGCCTTGACCTCAGCTGGCCCCACATCCTCGCTTAACTTCTCCTGCCCCATCCTGCTTCCCTCCCTCCCTCCCTCCCTCCCGAGTTTCTCCTGAGAGCGTCCCTGATCCCAAATCACCTGCATGTGAAACTTGTCTCAGCCTCTGCTCCTAGGGAGGCTGAGGAGACACTTTCCAGGGCCTCACTCCTCTGTTCTTGGGTTTAGGCTGTCCTGAGGTGCTGTGGTGTGGCATGTCCACGTGGTGAATTTAGACCAGGACCCAGTGAAGCCCTGGGGCTCCACTGGGCATCAATGCCATTGGGTGATCTGTAGAGGAAGACACTAATGATGTCCTTGTGAAGGCTGGGGGAGGGAACAGCTGGCAGTCCCTGGTGTAGGTGACAGTAGGACCTTCCTCAATGGAACCCTGAGAGACACAGAAGGTGACCAGGCACCCCAATAACGTTCCTGTGGCCGTTTATCAGACTCACCTGCCAGCCTGTCCTGGAGGGCAGCTTCTTGGCTCCTTCTCCAAGGCTCTGAAGTCTCTCCTCTCTCAATGTCCTTTTTTCTCTCTTTTAACTCGTATATTAATTCATTCAACAAATATTTATTGTCAGCTTTGCCTCAGGCACTATTCTAGATAGTGTGTCAGCTCAGGTCCAGCCTGGGAAGTCTCCTCAGGGCAACCAAAGCATTTCCTTTGCCTGTTTCTGTCAAAATGCTGCAAGCCCCTCCTCCTAAGGCTTTAGACTATAGTCTACTAATAATAGTCATTATAAATATTATTGTGGCAGCCAGCCTTCTTGTAGGATATTTCTTTTCTGTCCTGTCCATGCTGCCCGCTAATACGGGAAGAGAAAAAGAGGAAGAACATATAGGAGGAAAGATGCATACATTAATATCTCAAAATATTATCAACCTACGTTTTACTTGTTAAATCATATCATTAGGTGTCAGCTCATAGATCCCATTAGAGAGGGAGAGGTGAGGGGCTATTTCTAGAACACTCCATCACTATCTTTAGGGATTGGAGAAGGCTATAGGAAGACCTTGTGGGTGACTTTGGGTGAGTCCCTTAACCTCTCTTAACAACTTCACCAGCATCTGTTATTTTTTGACTTTCAGATAATAGCCATTCTGACTGGCGTGTGAGGGTATCTTGTTGTGGTTTTGATTTGCGTTTCTCTAATGATCAGGGATACTGAGGTTTTTTCATATGTTTGTTGGCCACATGTACGTCTTCTTTTGAAAAATGTCTGTTCACCTCCTTTGCCCACTTTTTAATGGGGTCGTTTTCTTCTTGTAAATTTGTTTTTTACTTGTACATGCTGGATATTAGACTGGCCCCCAGAGTATTTTAAATAACACTTTGAATTGGTTGCTAATTAATATCAGGAGATTTTGCTTTTAACATTTCTATTGGCCGGGCGCGGTGGCTCACGCCTGTAATCCCAGCACTTTGGGAGGCCGAGGCGGGTGGATCACGAGGTCAAGAGATCGAGACCATCCTGGTAAACATGGTGAAACCCCGTCTCTACTAAAAATACAAAAAATTAGCTGGGCATGGTGGCACGTGCCTGTAATCCCAGCTACTCAGGAGGCTGAGGCAGGAGAATTGCCTGAACCCAGGAGGCGGAGGTTGCGGTGAGCCGAGATCGCGCCATTGCACTCCAGCCTGGGTAACAAGAGCGAAACTCCGTCTCAAAAAAAAAAAAAAAAAAAAAAAAAAAATTTCTATTTTCAGATGTTAAGAGATTTGGAAACACAGGTCCTGAGCCTCCCAAAGCCAGTGTCGAAGAGATGTGTTGCTGCTACTGTCTTAAATTCAAGACTGCAATGTCAACTCTTCCTTAGCTCTTCCTTGGCAGCCTCTCTGCAGATTTTGAACTTGCCATTTTCCGTAATCTCATGAGCCAATTCCTTAAAGTCTCTCTGTCTCGCTCTTACACACACACTACCACCACCAGCCCCACCAATAGAGTATATGTCCAACTGGTTCTTTGGAGAACTCTGACTAATGCAGGTTCTAAGCTAAAGCATGTTTTTACATAACATAATTTATGTCATTTAACAGTCACAACATTCCGTCAGAAGTAGGTATTGTTGCTTCCACTGTGCATTTGCTTTTGAGAATGCTAAAGGGACAGAAAGAGGCATGAGGAGATTTTCTCAGATGGGAAAAACAGATACCTAAAGGCAGGTATATCTGGATGGAGAGTCAGCACATTGAGTCAGAGGATGAAATAAGACCAAGATGTGAAGAGGAGAGATGGGCTTCTTCAACTCTTTCAGGCCCTTTTATTCTCTGTCTGGCTGTTTGTCTTGACCCTTCTTCAAGTAACAGTCACCGAAGACGTTCAGGGAGCCAAGCTGAACTGGCATGAGAACGCTCAGGCAGGCAAAGCCTCTCTAGTGGGTGGCGGTGTGTGCAATTTAGACAAACGAACTTCCAGTAAGAGATGTTTAGGGAAGTCCTAGTCTCTAAAAGAACTATCTCAGGGTTCTTCATTGCCCAATACTTTAGGTTGTAAGTGATGAAAACCCAGATCAGATTGAAGTAAATAAAAAAGGGACTTTACTGGCTTACATAATGAAGAGACCAAAGCTTGGGTGTGTTGGGATCCAGGTCCTTGAACTAGATCATTGGGACTGTCTCTCTTTCACCATCTTTTGGTTCTGCTTTTGTCTCTAATGGTAGCAAGATATTTATAAGAGTTTATGAGATTAGATTTTCATCTTACCAGTTGAGATACTCCAGAAGAGAGTGAGAGAGAAAGAGAGAGAGAGAGAGAGACAGAGACAGAGACAGAGAGAGAGACTGCTTCCCAATAGTTCCCACAAATATCCTGAAATTGAAATTGACTCTCTTTGGACCATCTCAATACATGTGCTTACCTATCACCAATCTGTGTAGTCAGAGGTGTGGAATATGATGGGCTCCCCGCTGGGGTCCATTCAAGCTCTGTACAGCTTAGAGCTTATCAAAGTCCTTGATTTTAACAAAATAATTCATAAAGGAAGCAATTAGTAGATTTGTCTAACTGAAAATTAAGAGCATTTGAATGTCAACATCCATCATAAACAACATGAAAGAGAAAACAGAAAACTGGACAAAAATATTTGCCACATTTGTCACCAGTAGCCTTATAATAGTCTTTATATAAAAATAGCACACACCTTGGTTTAAAAAACGCTGACTCTGTCTGTGACTTAGAAAAATGATTCATGCATGTGAATGTTCATTGCAGCACTATTCACAATAGCAAAGTCATGAAGTCCACCTAAATGCCTATCAATGACAGACTGGATAAAGAAAATGTGATACATAGACAACATAGAATACTATGCAGCCATAAAAAAGAATGAGATTATGTCCTATGCAGGCACATGGATGGAGCTGGAGGCCATTATCCTTAGCAAACTTACGCAGGAACAGAAAATCAAATACTATGTGTCCTCACTTACACGTGGGAGCTAAATGATGAGAACACATGGATACACAGAGGGGAACATACATGCTGGGGCCTATTGGAGGATGGAGGGTGGGAGGAGAGGATCAGGAAAAATAACTAATGGATACTAGGCTGAATTCCTGGGTTATAAAATAATTTGTACAACAAATCCCCATGACACACGTTTACCTATGTGGCAAACCTGCAATGTACTCCATAACTTAAAAGTTAAAAAAAAAAAAAGAAAGAAAAATGAACAATTTTCAGCACCATTTAATTATCCCACAGATACTTCAAAATCAGCTTGCAAACTGGACCCCATTCTGTATAGCAGGTGGAATGCTCTCAGAAGTCAGTAACAGAAAATCTGACTCATACCAGCTCTAATCATAAAAAACAGATGTCTAATGGACTCAGATATGGTTTGATCAGAATTCTAGTTCAATCTATCTGAAATTTCCTCTTTCTTCCTTTCTCCCCATGTTCAACTTCCTCCTGAGGCTGGCTGCTCTCATGGAGACAAAGAGACTGCAGCAACTTCGAATTTCATGGACTCAACACCACACCATCCAGAAGGTGTGTCCCAAAATTCCAATCAAAACACTTCACATTGATTGGGTTATCCTCCAAGCCACACATAGTCAGAAAAATACCATAGGCTAATTGGCTTAGACCTCATTCTTTAACTAGTCCTTTTGTAAAGAAAAATTATTCTGTTTCCTCTAAGTCTGTCAGAATTTACCCTAGCAGCTGGGAGGGGTCAAACTTACCAAACTTTGTGGCTACTGTCAGATGAGATGGGGCAAGAATCGTTGCTGGAGAAATGGTCACAAAGTCCATGATTGGTCTCTGTATTCCCATATGTCCTCTCTCGGCCCCTCTACCTTGTTCAGTTCTGTGATGACAGAAATGAGTTTATTTTATATGATGCTGTTTCTCTGTTGTCTTCCCCTACTGCATCACACACAGAATGTGTCCAATAAATATTTATTGAATAAATAAGTGAAATAACAAAGGAAGTATAATAATTGAGAAACCTGTGTAGAATATTTATCTTTGGGAAGTGAGATAAAGCTAATTTTCAAATAGCTTTCCATAATGTTCTAAATTTTCTTCAACAAGCCTTTGTTATTTATATAACATACACAGTGAAGAAGAAAGCAAGTTCTCCCTAATGTCAATTGGAGATTTGATTTCCAGTAACCTTCCACATTGATCCTGGTTCTAACCCTGGACATTTGCACCTTTTGGCCTTTCTTAAATTCTATCTTCCCTGTTTTCGAATCCTGTATTTAGCTATATTTATTCTACTGCTAAGTCTGTCTTTTGAGTTTTTAGTTCCACCATAATTTTTATTTCTAGGAGTTATATTTGTTTTTTCTGGAGCTGTTTCCCTTTAATATTTTCAAGCTTCTCTGTTATTTATTGGAACATATTAAATATAGTTTAATCTTCTATTCCTTTTATTTCCAATATCTGAATTTAGTTAGGGCTAATTCTGTCAGGTTTTCTTCCCTGCTAGCCTTTATTCATGGTGCCTTTTTTCCTTGAATGTTTTATTTATTTATTTTTAACTTTCATTACCTTGGAAATTTGTAGATATTCTTTCAGAATTGGGATGGGGGAGTTTCCTCCAGAGATTTAGATTTACTTTATCTGGCACTAGGGATACAATCTGTCCCAGGACCACCTGAAGTTGTTAGGTGAGTTTTTCTGACCTCTGGGAAAGAGTGAATTGAGGCTTCACGTTTATATGAGGGAATGGCTCATGGTTACAATTGCCAGGAGAGAGATTTCCTGCTTCCATTCAGCACAAAGGGTCAAGACCTTCACTTCCCTGTGTTGGGATGTAGGCAGTTCATTGTTATCCTTAGCAAACTAACGCAGGAATGGAAAAGCAAATACCACACGTTCTTACTTATAAGTGGGAGCGGAACACTGAGCACACATGGACACAAAGAAAGGAACAACAGACACTGGGTAGGCCTTGAGGGTGGCGGGCGGGAGGAGGGTGAGTTGTTCGGTTCATTGTTACACTGTGGATACAGTTCATCGTTAGTCGCTGAGTTGTCATACTATGGACGCAGTCCTCGCAGTTCCTGCTTTGGAGCGTTATCCTC